GAATAGAAAACAGAATGAAAAGTAAACATGTTTTCTCGTTTCGTTTCTCAAATTTGTAACATGAAAACAGGAAACAGGAAACGAAAATGAAAGTGAACAGGGCCTGATATTTTTATCCCCTCCCCCTCTCATTAATTATAGTTCCACTGGCTAGCAAGAATTCGTACCTACAGACAGAGGTTTCTTGATCAAGACTTGCTACCGCAAACTTCAATGATTTGATGTCTACAAATTTATAACCTTACACTTGCAGCTTTCTTGTAGTTGAATAGATATGGTTTTATGTTTATATAACCTTATACTTCGAGGGTATATTGAATATTTATGCACCTAATCTTAACTTTCAATCCTCACAGGCCAAATTTTTTCTTAGACATGTAGGATGATTGTCAAACCACAGGGTATGCCAATTGGAAAAATCTAAGTTCAGTCGATATTGGAAGAAAATTGAATGGAAGATCATCGGTGTAAAGTAGCAGTCAAAACCGGTAAAAGGACGACCAACACAGAGAAAAGTGTTAGCGGCCCCAACATATAATTTTTCGGTTTCTAAACAAAATGATGCAATTTTGGTGGAATTAAATAAAAAAAAGAAAGAAATATGTTGTTTTTAAGAAACCAAATTTTTTTAATAAAAAATAAATGAGAAACAAATTATGATTATCTGTATATAGATAAACCTTTCAAGTTATGTGTACATGAGCGCGTGTGTACGATTCATATGATATATTGTCACCATAATACTTTTTCTTTGTGAATTTGTCACCATAAATATTCGCTTCAATATAAAATGCTTAGCTAGCTGATAATATTAGGTAGAAATGTGATTAAACTAAACATATTATTAATTGAAATCATGGAGATGGTGGCATTATACTGTCTGTGCATGGGGGCAATCATTATATTTATACGACAGCAGGACATAATCTACAACCACAGCTACACAACAAAAAACATGTCCAACCCTCTCATTTGATTAATGTGTAATGTTAATGGTATTTAATTATTTTTGTAGAACAACTGGTTCCTATTGCTTGATGTTGGTTGTTACCTTAATGTGATCATTATTATCGTTTCTCTAGGGTTTGCTTCTGCTCTGTCTTGTCGGTCTGAAGCTTCATTTCCCAGTTGGTTGATGTCTTTGTGTATAATGTTGGTGGGAGGAGTAGTATTGTACCAATTTAACATTCCAAACTTTTTTTTCGACGAAAATATTGTCTACTTTGTGTTTAGGCTCGCACTGTTTTTACATTCAGGTGTATAGCTAAGTGGTTTTTCGAAAGATCATCCATCCGTAGTCCTTACAGTGCACAACAGTGAGTACGATTAAATTCAGAGTTCTTATACGAACTCTATTAGAACAAAAAAAGGACTCGTTTGTAAATGATCCATAGTTATAAAACTTAGTTTATAATAGATAAAATCTACAGTTTAAATTTGTCATTAGTTAGACTCCCTAGCCACTTTTGCCAGACTTTTGTCTATCCTCTGATCTTACTGTAAACACAATATAAAACCAGCTATGTAAGCTGGGTCATGTAAATTAAGCTGGATCATGTACGTTTTTCTTCTCCAATGGATCAATAAATCAAACAAGAATGAATTTCACTTGAATTGAAAATCGAGCATGGTACGCATCAGAGCTCTTCTATGTCGATTTCGTCTCACATTCTCGCTTTCGCATCTTTTCCTTCTTTTCTTTCTCATTTGCAAATTGATTGAAAATGATCTCATGATTGAAAACCGTTCTTTGAAATGTAATATATTTCTATGTCTAAACTAAATTTACGTATTAGCTCTCTAAATTTTACATTCTTCATGAGATAATTTTCAATCATTGTCATAGTTATTCTGTTGAGATTTTCTCGTTATTTTTAACACAAATAGAATTTTTTAAAACACAAAAAATATTTTTAAAATTCATTATGCATGCCTGGTGTGTATATATAATATAATATAATATACATGATAATATTAATTAAATTCGTCATCATACTCATAATTAATTAATAATACACTATACATGAACCGAAGCATACCTCTTGGCCGCCCTGACAGTTAGGGGTGGGAAACCGGTTCGGTAAACCCGAACCAAACCGAACCGAAACCGAGCCGAAACCGAACTAATGCTTCGGTTCGTAATTCGGAAGGAAAATATGGATATTTCGGAAATCAGGGTTCTTTCAACCGAACCGAATTTCCGACCGAAAAACCGAAATACTGTAATTGCAAGCTCAAATGGTGGATTTTTATGTTTGTATTTGTTTTTAGACTTAAATGTTTGAAATATTTTATTACTTATGTGTTGAAAAGTTTGATTTTATCATTGATGATGCATATAATTACATATTTATTGTTTATATTAAGGGTGAAAAATAATTTAAAAGTGAGAAGATACAAGTAGCCTCTCAATTTCGGTTTTGTATATAAAACCGAACCGAATTCGGTTTAAACCACCGAACCGAATTTTAATTCTGTTCGAATTCGGTTTGGGAGAATTCGGGACCCTGTATTCATAATTTCGGTTCGGTCGAAACCGAACCGACCGAATGCCCACCCTACTGATAGTATCCATGCTGCATGCGTATGTTCCCAAAAAGTTATTAATAGTTACTATTCAATATTGATCTCGTGATTTCTAATTCTCTTCCTGTGGCAACATAGTTCTCTTTGATCATCACGTGAATCTGGTGTAAAACGAGTTTATCATCAGCACGCAAGAAATTTCCTTACTAGAAAGATTACCAAAAGCTAGCTCATTAATTATTAATTGGCGCTCGTGGGTTTTGATATTTGATAAATATGTATGGCCTCAATAATTGCGTGCTTAGCAAAGTGAGTTTTGTTAATCATACAAAAAATGCCTACCTACAGAGCTAGTAATTGGCATAGGATTCACAGAATGGAAGTGAAGGAAGGAAGATCGAGTTTGAGGAATTTGTCGTCTCCAGCTGGTCTTTTTTTTATTTATGGAGTTTAGAGCGATTATTCGCGTTATTAGTTGGGTATTACTCGTAGAATGACACGAAAACGCCTTTTTGTTCTCTTCTTTAATGGTGTCCTCTTTTATTTTTAGAGTCTGCAGGTTTGTTGTAGACTCTGAGGTTTGCGAGGATAAGGGGCTTCGGTGTTTTACATGTTTCTTTTTTATTCGTTTTTTTTTTGTCATTTTTCAGGGTGGAAAAGAAGGTCCAGTTTAAGAAATTTGAGTATGGATTTTGTGAAAAGAGGAGATGAATTGAAGTGAAGGTAGGAGATACATATACACTTGGTTGGCAAAAGTGATTTTTATAAGAAGTCTTGGTGCGTTAACCTTGCAAAAAGATTTTTTGATGATCAAATTCGATGTGAGAAATTTTCAAAGGTAAAAAGTGTGTAAAAGTTATATGAACCATTAGTTTTCATTGGAAGGGATCATTAGTAATGACTGAGCATGTTATTAGTATATACATTCTGCGGTCCGTTCATGAATGATAATTAGTAAACTTTCCATGGCCGATTTGTAATGATCATAATATTTAATCCTCCTTAATTATGTGATTAAGCTTTTGGCTTCTGTCTACTTTTCCCAGATAATTTATATACTTGCTCTTTAATTAGGTTTTTGCTTTAAGGGAAAATATAAACAAAATGGGGGAAAAAGAGAGAAAGTATTGATTTTTCTGTTCAAATGGAAGCGCTCCTTTTTAGCCTGCCAATATAGAGGAGGAAGAGGTTGGATCTAGTTAGATCTTCAACAAATTTGACTATCAAAAGTAGAGGTGGCAATTAGGATCCAAATCCATGAATCCAATCCAATCCATCCATCAAATTATCCACCTAATCCAATCCATTTAAATCCAATCCATTTGATCCAAATCCAATTGGATTGGTGGATTCATGGATCAATCCATGGATCCAAATGGCAAATTACGATTTGGTACCTATATTTTTTACATTTTACATTTTGGTACCTAAAATTTATATTTTTATACGAAAAATATCATTGGAAAATTACATTTTGGTACCTAAAATTTTTCGTTATGACATTTTAGTACCTAAACTTTTCAAAATTTACATTTTGGTCCAAACCTTAGATGTTATTTGGATTCATGGATCAATCCACCAATCCATTGGATCCAATCCATGAATCCACCAATCCATTGGATCCAATCCATTTGATCTATGGATCCACGAATCCAATCCACGAATCCGATCCAATTGCCACCTCTAATCAAAAGTAACTGATAGCTACATATATAGTCTGAAACACATGCACGGGAGATCCTCCAATCATCTATTGATTTATTGAAGAAAAAAAAAATTCAACGTAATTGAAACCAGGATGTTAATTTCCGAAACACGAATCAAAATTTATTATATAGTTATAGTCAAGGATTAAAATACCGTACCGTACCAACGATTCGACCAGAAAAAATCTCCTACAGGAGGCTAAACCGGTAGGCGGTACTTAGCGGTAAGAAGCGGTTGAACCACAGTTAAATCGAGCACTTCTACTATGCTATATAGTATTGGTGCTTTAATGTACAACTTGAAGTTGTACCATAACATTAAATGTACAAGTTTAGGTTGTACCATAAAGGAATTTGTATCATTATGTTATGGTACAACTTTACAACTTGAAGTGATTATGGATCACAATTTTAGCATAAAATACCATACTGCTGACTTTTTCAGTACAATCTCCGGTACAATATTTCAATTCTTGATTATAGTTTAAGCCAGAATAAGGCATTAACCCATTATCATTTGAACACTCCTAAATGTCATATCACGATATGAACCTTAAGCCCAACGCAATGTCATGCTGAGTCAGCCCATAGGAGGCCCAGCCCATTGCCTAGGGACACAGCTTGAAGAGTCATTTGGTTTGGTGCTAAATATTTATCAGAGAAGTCCCCAAAGTTTCAGCTTTCACGTTAAGGCACCTTAAAATTTTAAAGTTTCCTCGAAACCTTGTCCCAGCTCTTTAATTCTCACACACTTTATTTCAGTCGCGATCTTGCCTTGCCTTCCCTCTCAAGAGGTCTCACGCTACACAAACACCTGGATAGTTCTTGAACATTTTTTTCCTTCTCTCGGTTTGGGGCCAAATCACATCAGTCATTTTAAAAAAAATTTCTTCCAAGTTACGGCTCAACGAACATCTCCAACAGTACCGAATTCGTCTTCGCTTCATCCGGTCGATCCCTCCTCCAACGCCATTGTTGTCTCCCGTAAGCTTTCACAAACTTGGCCTCGTTCCAGCGGATGGACGCCCGATCTTTCCGATCTCTTATAGGCGTTTAACTCCGATTGGAGCTCCTCCTCCATCCCTCTCTCTCAATGGCTGCCTGGCTTAAGGCCGCGGAAGGTGTGGATCTCTTTTCCCTCTCACTCCTTTTTCTTTCCCGATTCGAGAGAATGCTAGGAGTACGATTGCGGAATCGAGAGTGAGTTGCTGAGTGTTTCGCGCTGTGTATGTGTTCCCATTTTAACTATCCGCCCGTGTCAGTTAGCTGGTTATGAACTTTGCTTCAAATTATGCAGTGAAATGTGTGTTTCTTTCTGATGAATTGGTTAGTTGATCATTTGAATGCGTTCACTAGGCCGTGACAGTGCGTGCTTGAAGTTTTTTTTCTTAGAGCTGTTCCGTCACTAAAATACAATGTCAAGAATCCTGGTAGTAGGTTCAGGATTCCTGAAACAGCTCATACTTGAACAATGTGTTGGCCGCCGCTGGTTCGATATGAAGTTGAAGGGTGATGATGTTTAGAGGTCAGTGAAAGAGCTTGGCTACAAAGTCATTGATTGAACCACAGCTCTCACTACGTGAAATGTGGTTCGATAGGATTTCGAAATGTCACGGTTTTCCTGATTTTACCATCAAAGCGTTGCTGGGAGCTTGCATTGGAATCCCTTGATTGTGCAGTCGAGTCGAGGACCCTTATGAAAAAGCCTCTTAGCAAGGCATTGATCACCTGCCTGCTTACGATTAGTTAAAGGACATTGGGAAACCCTCGTATTTATAATGCTGATGCACTACTCACATTTCGTGAGTCCTATTTTTTAATGTATTCCTAGATGTTAATTCTGTCTGGATATGTGTTGGGAACATGCTTCCAATTGTCAAAGAGAGACACCATCTCGATATCTGAACTTGCTATCAAGATCATAAATTAGCTATGGTGTTAAAAAGAAAGTTTGATTTCTTATCATCAAGTCTGATACGTTTGCTCATTTCCTATTCTGGTGCAGGTCTGTTTGAAGTTGTTGATCGGCAGGCAAAGCTAGTTGTTAATGAATTGTCAGAAGAGAATTCTGATTCTCAGCCATCTGGTAACAATTTTTAACTTAGCTATCAATCTAGTAATCTTTGATGTCACACATCTGACATATATCCAGAATTTATACTTAAGCAGTTGAAACCTTTCCTCCTTAGAAATTAAACACAACATTGCTGATGTGCTTAGTTATGCCTCAATCATCAGAGGCAATAGGACTAAGGAATGTGTAACATTGTCTCTTTCTTTGAATTTTATGAACTCGGCCTCGAAACATAACTGCATTCAGGTCAGTGTTAGATCATTTTGAGATCCACCAGATCAACCAATACTCGATACCAATTATGTTAGAGCCGCTACAAATACTTACAAAAGAGTTTATGTTATAAAACCTTAGTAAATATGTCATCAAATCCCTTCTCTGCCTTGTACAATTATCCTCTTTTAAATTTTTATATTGTAAATTAGCTCTGAAGTCTAGCATGAATGCTGAATGATGATTCTGGTTGGTTGATATACTCTTAAGTTTAGGGAAGGGGCGGGGTTTTGATGTATCGATGGATAGCCTCCATTTAAATTTTCCACATGGCTGAATACCTGGCTAATGTATGTATTTTTATTGTTTTTGCCGTCTTTGAAATGCTTAAGCTTCTAATGGACAAGGATCTCAACAGAAAAAGCCAAAGCCAAAGCCAAAATCAAAGTCAAAGGTATGTCTTAAGATAATTATGATCCTGGTCTTCATACATTAGTATGTATGATTATCAATATTATATCAACATTTGTCTCCTTTTTCAGGCTCAAAAGAGGCGCTCGAAAGATGAATCCACAAAGCTAAGTGAGCCAGCACAAGAGGTGACTAATACACAAACATCAGAGGCAGATGCAATAGATCAAGCTGCCCGTTCAGTTAAAAATGACGAGAAAGCTTCCAGCAGTTCTGTAGCTCAAACAAGCAATGAGCAGCAAGAAACTGGTGACAGTGCTTCAAGTGTATCACTACCGACAACTACGAATGAGCAAGTCCAGCATGAAGCTGACAGTGTTCAAATTCCTATACCTGTTACAGACACTATAATACCACCTTTGGATGGTGAGCTCCTTAATGATAAGACTATAGATGTCCCTGCGGAGAGTACTTCTTCACCATCACCTGCCAAAGAAATGGAAGTTGTCAAAGAACATGATCCAGTTGTTGCTGTTCCTGATGCCACGACAAGGGAAAATGAGGGTTCTTCAAAGATTGAGCTAGAAAAATCAAGTAAAGATTCTCTTGTTATTAATGACAAATCAGCAAAGGTTGACGAGCTTAAGGTAGAAACTCCTATGCATCAACAGAAGCAAGTAGAGCATGACGTTGCTGCTTCACCCAGGAAAATTCAGGAGCAACTTGAGGAGGTAAACCTTTAAATACAGGGAGTGAAATTTTGAACAGAAGTTAGGGCTCCACCTTTTGTCTCTGGTACTCATTAATTACTTTAGTTGGTGTGCAGGCTCAAGGACTACTCAAGACTGCAAATTCCACTGGTCAGTCAAAAGAAGCTAGACTAGCACGGGTAAGCTCCAGAATAAATGTTACATTCATTACCACCTTCGAGCTAGACATTTCAAGATTCACCAGTTACATGGGCAGATGTCTAAATTTTCGCATCTGGGCCCGTTAGTTCTAGTCTTATATGTTTTCAGTCATACAATGTTACCTAGTAAATTATCCAGACACAACTTGATGCTGAGCTGTTGAGGGATCAAACTTACTGAGGAAACAAGGACAGGAGATCCGACTTTCTTGGATATTTCTTTTGTGTTTACTTATTCCGAACTTGATCTGCTTCTTGGTATAAGGAAAAACCCAAACTGGGTTCTTTTTATTATTAATGGTTTCCTGTGACTGGCCAGTCATATACTCAGTTAAAGCTGGGTGAGGCTTCGTTTATGACCTGTTGTTAACCATACAATATTCATACTTAGGTTTGTGCTGGGCTTTCAACCCGCCTTCAAGAGTACAAGTCTGAAAATGCACAACTCGAGGAGCTTTTGATTGCAGAGGTGAAATGTTACACCTACTTCGTTTTCCTGATGGATGTACTGGTTATGAGAGTGAAGTTTCACGATTTAGTGCTTTGGAAGACTTCTCTTGACATATATTTTTCTTTAACAGAGAGAACTAAGCAAGTCATGTGAGGCTCGTATGAAGCAGCTACAGCAAGACTTATCTGTGTCAAAAATGGAAGTAACAAGAGTAGAGTCAAACATGGCTGAGGCATTGGCAGCAAAGAATGCTGAAATTGACGCGCTTCTTGGTTCTATGGATGCACTTAAGAAACAAGCTGCATTGTCAGAAGGAAGCTTGGCTTCTTTACAGGTTTGCTAGTAATATTTTTAAAGATGGCAATAGATTCTGTAAAATGATCATATATGCACATAGGAGTCACTTGAAACTATCAATTTTCAATGCTCTGTGAACTTCCTATGACATTCGTACAAACAAGGATTGTATGGTTGTGTGAATAGTGGAGAAAGTCTTTTGCGAGTCAATTCCATTTTTCAGCATAATCCCCTCACCACAAGAAGCATGTGGCTGTTTCTCCTTTCTTGTTTCTTTTATTTCATATATATGTCACAGCTTTTGCGGAAGACCTTTATAAATGATTTTCAACCCTTCTGTTACCTCTCAGGCAAACATGGAGTCTCTTATGCGAAATAGGGAACTGACAGAGACAAGGATGATGCAGGTTAGCTGGTGCATATAACAGTAGCCATATTTGTTCCATCTAATTAATGTTATTTTCCCCCAACTTTAACCCTTAATACTCAAAAGTATTTTCATTAGTCTTTATTAATGAAATATTTCTTTCATCTCACTAACTACTTTTCTTTACCACGGAAAAGCTCTCTCCCCCACTTGACTCTACTTTCGCTAGCACCCTACCAAACACTATTCCTTCTTTTGCTAAAACTTAAAATGTTAAGATGAGACTGAACAAACACGGCAAATACCTGTCATAGTTCATAGCATAGCCATGTGTGTTCTTTCTCATAATGAAATTTGGAGCCTAATAAATGCGCTTATACCAGGCTTTGCGAGAAGAGTTAGCCTCTGCAGAACGGAGAGCAGAAGAAGAGCGGGTGGCACACAACACTACTAAAAAGGTTTGGCTCTAATAGGTTTGTCATCTTTAGGACCCATGGAATTTGAAGTTGTTGCTGTTTGATAATTGTCTTATTCTTGATATAGGCAGCTATGGAGAGGGAAGTGGATCTAGAAAACAGAGCTGTGGAGGCTTCCACAGCTCTTGTTAGGACTCAGGTAGTACCCCAGAGGTCATTCATTGATGCATAACTAGGCTGTCAGTGTTGTGTTTGGAATGGCTGGTCTGTATCCTAGCAACACTGGCTGATGTTAAATAACTTCAATCCCTTCTGTAATAGTTTCAAATTATGTTCTCTTCCAGAGACTTGCCGATGAAAGGACATCTAAGGCCTCAGAACTTGAACAGAAAGTTGCACTGCTTGAGGTATTTAAAGACCTTAATTTGGTCATTTTTCTGCTGTCTGATCAGAGAGTGCTAACTTACTACTGCTTCTCAATCAGGTTGAATGTGCAACATTAAATCAAGAGTTGCAAGATATGGAGGCCCGTGTTCGGCGAGGCCAAAAAAAGGCCCCTGAAGAGTTAAACCAGTCAATTCAGGTACCTTAGAACTATCCCTCAGCATCCTATTATTTTATCTCGATCAACAGCTTTTCCACAAAACTCTGGTGTAATGAAACAACCCTTTGGATGAATCTGGTTGACATATTTTGTACTTGTAGCATTTTTTAATAATTGTGCATTACTGTGATTGTTATGATACTTTTCAATATTTCCTAAAATCTTCCCTCTTGATGTTCAAACTATAGAGTATTTGTAAGGTTTGCTAGGGTTTGTCCCCTCCAATTTGATTGATGATGCACTGAAACTCTGCTCTAACTGCAACCTGAACCCCAATACCACCGTTCAAAATGTTAAGATGCAGGCATGGCAGGAAGAAGTAGAACGAGCACGCCAGGGTCAGAGAGAGGCTGAAAACAAGCTTTCTTCTGTTGAGGTAAGAGCTATGTGCATTCCCCTGTCAAAGTTCTAGTTATGTTATTTGGAAGGGCTATTGAAGTGTGGAACTGGATCATTCCTTTCATTTCTAATTTGTTTAAGATTTACAAGTCAAAGTTAAGCATTTGTTTCTAGATACCAACCCTTTTCCTGATTACAGGCTGAATTGCAGAAACTGAGAGTTGAAATGGCAGCCATGAAAAGGGATGCTGAACACTATTCACGCCAGGTAGTCTGATGTTTGCAAGTAAACATCATCCTGTTCTCTAATTTCAAGTCAGCTTACCTTTTTCCTATCAAGAGAGTGAGAGAGAGACATCACTGTCTAGATTTGAATATGCTTTATTAGGAAGGCTAGGCAGTCAGTTAGGTTTGGTCATGTTAGGGGTCTGAAGTTTTTCTTTGTGTTTTGTTCCCTCTGAAGAATAACTCGCTACTTCTCATATTTTGTGTGAAAAAATAAGTACCCTTTAACATTGTCAGAGCATATCCCCTGAAAATGCAACCTTCCAATGCTTTGCATCAGCAGGAATCTGAGGAATCCGGTTCACAGTAACCTTGTGCTCGATTAAGACAATATTATAAGTGGTATTTTACGCATTTTATTTCCTAAATTATCAATTCACTGGTTGAGCTGCTTTCAACAGGAGCATATGGAGCTTGAGAAACGCTATCGGGAACTAACTGATTTACTGGTAATAAAAAATCTGTAATTCATGTCTATTAACCATGATGAAGCACCAAAGTAAAAAATTCTGGAAATGCTTTCTTGATGCAGTATTACAAGCAAACACAACTAGAAACAATGGCTAGTGACAAGGCAGCAGCAGAGTTTCAATTAGAGAAGGAATTGAAGCGTATTCAAGAAGTGCAGGTCAGTTCTGAAGGATTGTAACTCGTTTACAGGAATCATGTTCACTTGAATCTGCTGTAATTTTTTTGTCCTGATGAAACATCTACCCCCTGCCATGCAGGTTGAGGCTGAAAGAGGCAGAGTTGCCCGCCGCCCATCTCCATCATGGGAAGAGGATTCCGAAATGAAAGCACTCGAGTATGTCCTTTCTTTTTCTGAACTAATAAAACACTTTCTTGATCCTGGCATCAGAACAAACCTATCCGGACTCAGAAACTATAACAACCTAGTATCATCTCGACAGTTTATCTTCTAGCTCATGCATGAACTTTTAGAGGGGCGCTCTTAGATTTTCTTTAAAACGCTTCATACGATGCTTGCTATGACTGTCTATTATGCTAAAGCAAACGTTTTACCAACTTGGCTTGTCTGTGTTACAAGCAATTAGGTCTTCGATTGTGACCTTGTACCTGTGTTGTCTATTTCTTCCAATTTAGAATTTCAAGCAAGTTGTTTTGAATACGTTTTGAAGCTTTCTCGTGGCTTGAAAAATTGCAGGCCTCTCCCAGTGTACCACCGCCATTTGGTGGGTGCAAGCGTACAGGTATACAACTCTTCCACTCTTTTTTTCTCAGTAGCGTCCCAATCCCTTGTTTTGGATTTTTTAAACACCGTGGTTGCAAACCTGCATGTTCTGCAGTTGCAGAAGGCAGCAAAGATATTGGACTCAGGAGCTGCCAGAGCCACGCGCTTCTTGTGGCGGTACCCAACAGCTCGGCTGATCTTTTTATTCTATCTGGTAAGAATAGGCCGGTTTTGCAATCGCCCTGTTTCCAGACTCTTTTAAGGGTTGAGAAAATCATGTAATGACCCATAACAGTAACACACACATTGTGCTGCGCAGGTGTTCGTACATTTCTTCATGATGTATTTATTGCATCGCCTTCAGGTATCAACGTTGTGCTGTTTCACTCCCTTACTGATTTTCCATCGCTGTACTCGTCGCCATTTGTTAACCGCGCCCCTCGCAATGCAAACAGGCGCAAGCTGACGATCTCTCGGCTAGAGAAGTCGCGGAGTCGATGGGCCTTACCGACCCCAACTTGCAGCTACATGCCCGGCGCTGACCACCACCCACTGCTGTGGGCATGCCTGTGTATTGTGCCTCTGTATATCGTCCCAAAAGGAAAAGAAAATGGCCTGAAAAAAGAGCATTAGGGTGATAGAGAATTAACCAACCACATCGGATGAGTGATGAGAGTACAAGAGTCGGGTTGCCATTTTCAGGCATATTTGCAGCAAAGCTGAAGCTTTGTTGTGGAATGGGCGACTTTCCATTTATTTCTCCTCGAACCATTTTCCTACCTTTCTACCCACTTGGTGGTGAAATCTAATTAGAGGTTTTGCTGGGGGCAATTCGGAGTACAGACTTGTTTTTTTTTGTGTAAATGATGAGCTAGAAATATATATAGATGTAATTGTACATCAAACATGCTGACAAAAGAGGGGGGAAATTGAAGAACAAATTTATTTTAATAGATGGAAGGATACAATTTCATTTTATTAGAATCAAACAAGTCTTAGGGAAATCCATTTGCGATTGTTAGCGTAAATAGATATAGAATACATAGTTTTTAACTTTTTATCATACACAATTCGTATTTTCTTTTCATGATTTTAAATAAACTATCACTCAAATTGTTTCATCGAATAATTTTAACTTTTAAGTGAGATGGTTGAACTCAATTTTTAATTAACAATTTAAACCTTTTATTTGGAAATGATGTGTTTATTAAAAAAGTGTGGAGCGAGACAAAACATAACATTCAGTTCGCCTATGTATCCTTTAGGGGCCTCCACTAAGATCCCCATTAAATGCCTCCGGGAACACCATACCGCCTTTAATGGAGGTCAAAACATCAAAGCCCAGAAAATTTTGATAGAACCCAGCATTCTCCAATCTCCATTAACTAGAAAAGTTATATACATATATGTCTACAGAATTAATACAGTATTCTTCATTGTAATACACTAGCTTATTACCCGGCCCGTTGGCCGGATTACTGTATGTTATCCACTTGTGGAATGGGAGAGAAAGCAAGTGAGAGTGAAGGGATTGGGATTCCACTTGATTAGGACCGACCCACTAATCCGATTCTTCCCGACCCGCCCCAACCTAAAGGGTCAGAAAGAGTTAATAAGAAAATACGAACGGAGAGGATTAGTCATATATCTTGACTCTTCAGAAGTGGGTCAAACAGGATCAAGGTTGGGTGAGGGCAATTTTTAGCGCTAAGCAGAGTTCTGGGTTGAATAACTTTACTTAGGCCTAGAAATTGGTGCTGATGCAGACTGCAGTTTTTATTATACCATCATCAATCATCATTGAATTAGTCCTGGGCATCCCTCCCCGTTGTCGGTCTGAATTCTAATGATGACTTCATTCCTTGCACCAGCCATATCAGCGAGTTGTCATCTCGAGCATGATTTGCCTATGTACAAATGATACAATTAGAGTATGAAACTGAATTCAAAGAAAAGGAAAAGAGAATGCTATCACATGCCAATAAATACACACATAATAGTTGAAGCTAAGTGAAAGTCATTACTCGCACATCAATTCTCAAAAATTACAGACTAAACAATGGCTAGAATGGCACTGAAACTACCAAGAATCATGGACGAAACAACTTGTCAAATTAAATAATCCCTATACTGAAACTACCTTCTAACTTGAAATAAGACATGATCACAGTTCATAGCACTCTTATCACTATGAATTGGTTGCAGCTCGTCCTTATCACTGCCTCCCAAGCTCAATTCAAACAGAATAGAGACTGTTATGTAAGATAACCATATCCTTACTGATCATAATTCCTTTCTTCACTCCATTTTTTTCGGAGAAAAGAGTTATCCCCCTCTCCTGCATTTCCCTTTCCCCCTCTCTTTCCCCTCTTCTTCACAAACCGATCCCTAAACCAGCAACAACAACACAAAAATAGCCTTCGCCTCTGCCATCTCCATCTACTAAACGCGTTGGTGGCAAGACATGATTGCAGAAGCAAAATTTTCTAAAATCAAACTAAATTTTTTGAAGGAGACTCAACCACGAAAAAAGAGTAAAGCAACAATGCTAATAGTTCAGATGGTTGGTTTTGATGTTATACGTTGCTTTTGTTATGGTCTCCAGTATATCAACTGCAACAAAGATGTTTCCTCCAATCATCTTTAATGCACGATTTAGAAGTAAGTCCTCTTTTTTGTGTCAAACAGAAACATTCATGGGTTCTTAACTCCCCTGTTAGTGTAAATGCAGCAGCAGCAAAGAAGTTTGACAACATAGCAAGCACCCAGGCAAAATGATACAATGCAGTAGGTGATATGTGTCTCGAAGGTTTTGAGTTACTAAACTTCATGTTAAAAATAAACATGAATTAAAATGGATTATTCTATTAAGCAAACACCCCCTCTAATCATACAAAGATCAGATATCAAATTCACAAACAATTAAGCCATAAAAAATCATCACACATCCACCACCTTTGATTGCCTAAATTTGGTTTTTCGCAAAGTTATGGACTCTTAAGGGTAACGTTCATGGGTAGTCTGTTTCATAACTCTAGAGAGCACAGTAAGCAGCCACCAACCAGACACAGTGCGGTAGGCGAATATGATTCTCAATTCATAATTTCTCACCACCGGAAGTAAGAACAGGCCATAATAAGCGTAGCGTTCATGGGTGGTCTGTTTCATAGCACTACTACACAATTTGTTAAAAAAGAAAGAAAAGTATTTAGCATCACGGCGGAACAACTTTTACAGGCCAACAACGACAACATGCTGCAACCACCAGAACTGGTATCACAACTCATAGGGAAAATCAAAAATATTTACTCTCAAATTAAGTAGTTATAACATCGAGCAATCGTCAAACACATACACCATCACAAAAGTCACGGAACCTGATTCACAAAGCATTCAAACATTTGAGGACATTTCTGCAAAGGTACAACTTATATATCTTTTTTCCAAGCCATTTCCATCAACATGCTAATAAATTTGCAATGCATAAAACAAACGGGCCAAAACTTGAAATTCAGCCTGTTTGACCGACCCCATGCCAAATTCTACTTATTCCTTACTTTTAAAATTTCTATTTGAAAATAAAAAATAGTGAAAGAAAAGAGACGACTACAATTCGCCATTTGCACATCACTTATTCGGGAATAAAATCATAGAGATTCAAAAGGAACTGAAAATATTTAGGATCGTTTTAATGTTTAAAATAACCAAATAGATCTTTATGTTTAGTTTTTTACTAACAAATACCCAACGATTCCCTATAAAACACACTATAATTTGATCAATATGATGTCAAATAATTATAAAATATATATTTGAAATGATAAAAATTGGAATAATTGGGTTGGTCGAGGTTGAACCATTGAATAACTTTAAAATACATTATATTTTAGCCACTAAGATATAAAATAATAGCATAATATATATTATGCCAGAGACAATAGCTTGTTTTAGAATGACAAACCAATGATGTTCATTTGTTTTACTTGATGGCCAAATCCCATGTAGGTCAGGCTCATTCAACTCTTTTATTTTATGGTTAGCGGTTAGCCCATTAGATACCATGCATTAGTTTATTGTTAAATTTTTAATTTTTAACAATAAAAAGGAGTATTATTTTTTCCTTTTCATATATATTTTATCACCACGGAGAAATAAAAGGGTATAAAGAAAAAAATTGAGACTCCTAGACCCGTTTAAATCCGCATGTGTACGGTAAGTTGGCCCGTTCCACAGAGGAAAGAGAAAAAATTGGTACTCCCTATTCTACCCTTCCTACAAACGCTCCTGGAGCAGGGAATTTGAAATGGGGGAAGAGTTTTTTCCACCCTGCTATTATATGTTTTTAATTTAAAAGGATACAACAAATGTACTTAGTGTGATTGGTTATGATCTTTGCCTTTCTTTAAAATGGTCATGGTTCGAATCCCAGTATGTATCTTTTTAATGAATAAAAAAAAGTAATTGTGAAGACCAAAATGTCCTTCCTACATTCACTCTCGTTGCAGGAAATTTGAAATGGGGCTCCCGTTTTTCACTTCGGTGTATTATAGTATGTGTAGATCAACCAAAATACCCGGGGGCTTAGATATCCAATACAGTATATTATCCCAGCCCGTCTTTACATGGGCCAGCATATGCCCAGCCCGGTTAGCCTGTCGACGTCCAAAAGCCCAAAAGATTTGTCTTCCTCCTGCAGCCATCGATTCCCATTCATTCTTCGCGTGTAGATTCCCCTCGCAAAGTATTCCCCCAGCTCTGTGCGATCCACCTCCTCATTCTCCAGCTTTCTTAACAAAGTTTCACAATCAATTTCTATCACCACGACCTTGCTTGCATCTCGCTACACTCTGATTCTGCACTTTCAGGTAATCATGAACCCAGCATGTAGCTCTTTGGATTGATCTCGTCCTCCTAACATCTTATTGTTATTGAAGCAGTGGTTATTTTGCTCCTTCCATAAAAACCCTAAAAATTGCACTGAATCTCTGCAATTTGTCATCAGGGAAATCTTCAAAACAGTCTTCTTCTCTAGACTGCAGCCTCCAAATCCTGCTTCCCCAGCTGCACCTCACGAGGGAGGGCTTGTTCAGGAGTCTCCACCAAAGGGGCAACCTGGTCCAGCTTTTTTTGGATTTACATACCAGCCGGCTTCCAACAGGTAAAGCATTCTGGCTAAGTGATAAGGGCTGAAATTGTATGAATGGATTGATCCACTTTCTTGGCGGGATTGAGCCAGTTCTCTCCTTTCTTGGCGAGAGGTTACCAGGGTTTTCTTTACTCAAATTCTGCTTGCTTATTCCATTGACGTAACCAGCTTATAAAGCCATCCAAACTGAAACAATAACCCCTACAAATAAGCTCACCTTGCTGGACACTACTCTACATGCCCCACCTATTGTGGAACGAGATTATTCTGCTGCTAACAAACTTAAAAGACTCATTCAAACCAATATCCCAAAATAATGCTAAAGTAAATCCTAGTCTACTGGCAAGCAGCAACGTAACTGATTCTCTAGAAGTGGATTACTCGCGGCTGTAGCGGGGGTTGGGTTGACGACCTCGGGCTGATCGTCGTAGTGGGCCGGGCTGGTGATCCTGGGCTGGACAAACCCGTGCCGCTTGTGGTTCATCAATACCCCCCGGTTGAACTAGGGACTCGTCCTCGAGGCCAAGTTGGAGAAAGCGGTCGTGGAAGACGGAAGCAAGTTCCCACGTAGCCTCATCGGCTGGTAATTGTTGCCACTTGACCAATAACTCTTCAACCCAACGATTTCCACAGCGAGTCCAGCGTGTATCCAAAATGGATTGGGGCAGCAGCTGTAGAGCACCATCCTCGCCGATTGGGGGAGTGACCGTTGACAGAGCTGGTGCCGGAGCGAGACAAGGACGCAGCAGGGAGACGTGAAACACGGGATGGACCCGACTGCCCGAGGGAAGAGCGAGGCGATATGCGACCGGGCCAATGCGCTCCATGACTTGATAGGGCCCGAAG